TTTTTTTTTTTTTTTCTAACTTTTTCTTCTTTCTTTATATTTACTTATATACAAGTCAACTTACAAAAAGTTTCTGAAATCTTTGGTTTATAATTTCTTTACTTAAAATAGCGATTACTATTATATAAATTTACAACTATTAAATTATTTATTTTACAACACTCTGTTAGAGATGTTATATTAAGATATTAAAGATATCTAATAGTTAAAGTTAAAATACAAGCTAAATTTTATTAAAATTACGATTTTCTAATATGAATCGAAACTCGTTACACGAATATGATTTCTTGCTATAAGCTAAGAGGTCAATGGTCCTATTAAATGCAATTTCTCTCCTTTATCTTTGTTTTTTGTTTTTCCTTTGCTTTATTATTTCTCTCATCTATCCATCTGTCCTTTTAAGATTTCTCTTATTTTCTCTTCTATCCCCAAAGCTCCTTCATTCCTCATTCACTTGATTATCTTGTGGCAGTCCTTCCATTCGAGAAACGCAAACCGAAAACGCAATTCTGAAAGTGTTCTTTTCTACAAGTATGTTCTCTGATCTGATCATCAATATTTGGATATTATTTACATAAAGAATTTTAATTGTTTATTTAATTTTTAAATAATTATCCGTTAGAGAATTCATTTAAACAATTTTTTCCCAATTATTTTATTGTTTGTTTGTCAATTTTATTAAAATTTTTAATATTTTTTTTTTTAATATTTTTTTATTTTTTATTTTCTTATTTCTTATTTTATGTTATATAAAATACTTATTCCATATCTATATTATATATATTTATATTAAATAATCTATATTTATATCTATATTAAATAATAATATAATTATAATGATAAAATTATTCATTTATTGAGTAATTTAGTGATTAAATATATCGTTAAATAATATTTACATGTATCAAGTTTAAAACTTGAAGCCAGCTAAATACAATTTGAATAGTGTTCAATCAATTATTATTTTATTATAGAAAAATAAGTTGAATATGATAAATTAATCTTTAATATTGAATTTAAGTGCTTTTGTTTTAAAATTTAATCTAACGCGTAAAAATTGCTAACTTTAATATAACCGTTTGAAAAAGTCACATTAAAAAACCAATTTACCATTGATATGAAAAATTTAAATTAAAAACTATAGAAATTGAAAAGTATAGAATATTGAATACTATAGAAAAAATTATAATAAAAAATAAATCAAAGATTTATTAATAACAATGAAAAATTATTAATAAAATTATTAATCAATTAAAGATTTTCATTAAAATAATTTTGCTATTTTATTTCTTTTTTAGATATATTGAATTTCTTAAATCACAGTTTGGTTAGTATTATTTTTTCTATATATAATAGTATAATATAATATCATTTGTAATAATTTGTTAGATATATTTGATTATAATTATGTTCTAAAAACAAATATGTACAAATGTTTTTTATTAAGAAGTTGAAAACATATTCAACTTCTTAACTGAGAACATTTAACACATAGAACATTTAATTCGTTATTTGAATTCCTAATTTCTTAAACTTAATATTTTTCTTCTTTACAGATCCCTATACGTGTCTTATTATTTTTATTTTAAATTTCTATTAAAAATTCATTTTCCATTTTCGATTTATCGATGAATTGAATTAAAAAAAAGTACGAATAATAAATTAATTCTTTCTCCATATATCTCAATTATCCGCTGGGCTTAATCCATACTATTTATCTTTCAATTAAATCAGTCGATCAAGATTTCATTATAATTAATCACGTCCTGTCCTTTTCATTTCAACAAATTAATCGAATCAAAAAATTCTTTCTTCTCATTCCAGTGATATATAGAACGAAACAAATAGGATAAGCGAGAGCTCACTCGCACGCCAAGAATCGTCGATTGCGTAAGAACGGAATAAGAAGCAGCGACCGGATGGATGTGAATAAATCGGGTCGCTTGCTCGCCGGAAGAATTGCTCCCCCATGATGGAAAGGGAACACAGATCTGCGCTCCACGAGTGGCGAGCTATTCACTCGGTTGGCAGCGCGACGTTGGCCGACGTGGAAGCGATGCCGCGTGAAAGATGACAATCGTCGTGACTCGTTAACCTCTAGTGGAGGTTGGGGAAAAGGGTGGAAAAGAAACCAGCCATCGCCAAAGGAAAGAAAAGAAACCGATAGATATAGTTGCAAGAGAAATGGAAAAATAGTAAGAAGGAGAGGGAGAAAGCGAGAGAGAAACTGCGTTGTAAGAGGAAAAGAGCTGTAACAGGGAAAGGGAACCGAGTTCAGTACCAAGAGAGTAGGATCGTGGGAGAGGCAGGGGAGAGAAAAAAAGAAAGAACAGGGGGGAAATAAAAGAAAGCTCTGGGCAACAAAGTTGTGACACGTTCCAACAGACTGACTTGCATCTTTCATGCCACGACGCAAGTGCACGTGTATATCGGGAGAGGCTTACGGAGATATAATTAAAAAAAAGAGGGGGAGAGGGCAAATAGGAAAAAGGAGTAGGAAAAACGTAGAAAGAAATCGTGGAAGAAAAGACGCGCGCGCGCGCGCGCAATGTCGGAGGTGATAGGATGGGACGATGGAAGGTTGGAAGGGGCAAGGAAAACAATCTAGCGGCGCCGCGCGGGTAAAGAATAAAAAGAGTAAACGGAAAAAAGAGGAAGGAGAAGAGAGCTCGATGTCGATGGAATCGCTACAATGGAATCGACGTTTCGACGCCGCGCGATCGTATTTCACGTCGGCGATCGACGAAAAGGGATGTTCTCGCGGTTGAGAGCCACACGAGACTTGGAATCGTTCGTGTTACTCTCTCGTGAGCTCACCCGTTTCTATACGAGCGCCGCGTGAACTCGTAAAACTGGCAGATACATTCGATTAGCCACGGCATCGATACGGTTTTTCCGCGTTGAGTTTCCTCCGAAGGGGGTTGAAATGGAAGAGGAAGAGGTCGAGGAAGAAAGGTAAGAAGAAAAAGATGGAGAACTCGATAAAATGGGAATGAAATAAGCCGACGATGAACGGAGCAGAAGGTGGCTAGTCGAGAATCAGGCCAAACTAATCGGAGGAAGGATTGCGATTTGTTGTACCGAATGAAATACGAGGGTAAGAGTGAGAACATCCTGAAACCGTTCAAGCAGGTTTAACGTAATTATCCATTGACACAATTATTCATCAAATTTGCTAAATTTCTATTAGAGAAACTGCTCTGCTCGATCATTTTATCGGAGCAGTGACCCTGCCAACCAGCGTCTCGACGTCGCAAGCCACCCCCTTTCGCGAGTTCAATGCTCCGATGGATAAGAATCCTTTCGATTCCCATTCTCTCTCGTATCTCGTACTTTGTCCATGTCTTCGTCTATATCTTTATCTACATCTTTGTCTACGTTTCTTCATACACTATTTCAACCCTATTTCTTTTTTCTTTATCTTCGTTTTTCGTCTCCTTCTTTTCTTTCTTTCTTTTTCTTTTTTTCTTTTTTTTTGTGCCTCGATTTAGCATGGATCTATACGAAGTAATTTTTTTTTCCCCTGACAGTCGATATCGTTGTTTGTCGATGGTATATTCGTCGGTAAACGCGTTCGCCAATTGAACTGCTCAATTCGCGTTCGCCGAATAAATAGTTGCGAGGACAAATATTTTAACCGCGTGGTGACGAGAGCACCACGTTCCCCTTCACCCCTCTCGGCTGTATCGTCGAAAACGATCTCGACATCCGAGTTTTCTCCGCAGTTTTCTCCTCTTTTTTCATTCTTTTTCAACCTTGCACTCTTTTTTTGTTACGCTCTCTTCCCCTGTGCGTATTTTTTTATATGGTATATGCATACATGTGTATATATTCACTTTTTCGTTCTTCTCGCTTGTTTCCCTTTTTTTTCCCTTTTTCTTTTTTTCCTTTTTTTCTTTTTTTCTTTTTTTTTTTTTTATGCTTTTTCCACTCCCTAAACAAAGAGTCGGTCGATACACACGGTCGCGACACGTGAAGCGAGGCGAAATTACAAAATTTCACGGAAGCGTCAATATATTTCGACGAGAGTTACTCTCTTTCCTTCTCTCCCACTATTTTTTTCTCTCATCTCCACGTACGAATAGCTTGATTTCATGCGTTCATTTTTAATTGAACCGATTCGATCCGTTGGAAATCCGATCTCGACGAAATTCACCGAAATTTTGATACACTTTCTTTGACTAGTAACCACACATTTATTTATCATGCATCACTGTATAAAAAATTCTTTACAAGTTCTCCATCTATTCTTCTTAAACGCTATTTTCTCGGGCAACAAAAGGCTGGAAAATAGAAAATACACAAACTATCGTAAACTACTCGAAAGAAAGTTGACTGGCGGCATGGTGAAATTAAATCGCGTTTCAATCCCTTCAAAGAGCCGACCGCACGCTTTTCAAGCAAACAACCCCGTTGCTCCGGTGCATGAAATCATACTTAAAATTCATGCCTCTGATCTCATCCGGGAGCCCCGGTGTTCCTTCCACCCTCCGGCTCGCTTCAATCTCGCGCTATCAAAGAGAAAACCACCGGCACAAAACGAAGGGGCATCGACGTGACGATACACGCCACGGGATGTAAGAGAATTGCTTGAATTTAACCGGGGATCCAAGATCCCTCGCACAGGAAGAAAACACAAACTTGTCTAGACCATGAATAAACTTCCACGAATAAACACGCATCAAATATTACTATCGTTTCCCCTCCATCTACTTCCTGGAGCCTAATCCATACAAGACTCGAGACATCGGGGCAACGGCCCGCAAGGATGGCCGAGAAGCGAGAGGGGTCAAGCGGATAGAATGACGAAAGTAGGAAACGGGAAGAAGTAGAACTCCTCTAAGGGATGACTAGCACGAACAGAAGATTCCCTCTCCCGCATAAAACGTGACCGTGAAAGACCGTTTCAATTTACCAAAAAAAAAAAAAAAGAAATTACAATTATCCAAAACCACGTTACACCACGAGGGCCAAATGATAACAATAAACCGATCACTCACCCACAACATGAACGAACAACAGAATTTTCAGTTCCATCGATGCCTCTCCTCCGATCCTCTATCCTCGAATTGCGTCTTATTTCTGCGATCGTCGCTCGTCGTCCCTACGATATTCGTGGTGGCACGGATGTGTGTGGTCGTAACGCGGCCGGCGCGACGCGTCTCTTCGCATGTCGCCCTTCCAGCGCGTGGTTCTCTCCCCTTCGCGTGTCCAGTGCGTGTCCTTTACCGTTGTTCGGCCTGCCTCTAACCCCAGTGTCGACGACGCGAACCAAACGACGTCCCCTTACATAATAGCGAGCGTCGCGCAACGGACCGACGTGGTGCCCCCGACGGGTAAGGGTAGTAGTAGATAGAGAGGCGGCGAGTCTCGTACTCGTACGGCGGTAGCGTGGAGGCGAGCGTGGAGTGCGAGCAACCCCCTGTGCGGTGTGTGCGCGGTCTGCGGAGCCCGGCTCTTCTGGCGGTGCTCCCTCGTAGCCTGCCGTTTCGCGCAGAATCAATTTCCTTGCAAAACGACGTCGAGGAGCGGCGCGAGTGCGAGTGCGCG